CCCAAATATGTTTGTTCGCGTATTTGTGTATTCATTCGTTTAGCCAAAATTTCCCTTTTGGGATAATGTCTTTGTCGATAATAAAATTAGAGTGGAATAGCACGTTTCTCGACTTTTTAGGGAATAACTGAGGAAATGTCATTTATATTTAATTTTTTAACAAAAAACTGGATTATTTGTGCTGGATCCATGATTACTGGGTTGATTTTTAAATAGTAATTTTTTATTTAAATGAAAATCAAAACATACTAGAATGCTTGAATTAGCAAAAATTTATGATCTGGCCCTGCTAATTTTACCATTTGCTTTGACTGTAATGCACTACCTTGGTAACCAGTTTGATGGCGATCCTGATTTCGATTCTATAGTCAAATTCGAGTTGAGTGCTTAAACACAGCTATTCCAAGCATATCTGCTCTGAGCTGCATCCTTGAAAAAAAGTCAAGTTTTTTTTCAACCGAAAAACAGGAATCGAAAATTTAAAGCCGGAAAACTTCTGCAGTTAAAATATTTTCAGTTCCTGCAAACATGTATTTTTGTTCACTAGAAAAACACTGAATTGCAGGAAATTGCCGAAATCGGATAGTGCCGATTTTGTGGAAGCCCCAAAATTCCAATACGACATGGATTTCGATTTACGTGCATTAAAAGCGGCACTAAAATCAGCAGAATTTCTGGAGGAGTCCGGCTATCAGTCAGTCTTGGAACGATCACAGAACAATCAGTATGGCACTGGATGGCTTATCAATGAGAATATGAGCGACGTGGACAGCGATGCCGATGATAATTGGGGTGAGTTGTTTTTTTACGTTTTTGTCGGAAGGCTGTTTCTATCTTTTGCCCTGCTTATATAGAAAATTCAAATCTGGAACCATGAAAGTTAGGAAGCTGAAATTTTGAAAAAAGCAGCATTCGAGCTACGCTGAATTGTGTCATAAGAAACGTATCGTTTACATCTTGCGCTGCAATGGAAACGAGCTGCGACTTTGCTGACAATTACCAGACGTCGCTCCAGAGCTGTTTGGATTACCGCTTACTTTTTATGCGTTCTGTGCGGTATAACAGCTGCACAAAAAGCATGCTGTCAAACCCCTATCTGCATGTGTTTTTATGTGTGTATGTGTGTGCACGTGTGTGTTCGAGTGCGTTTTGTTTCTGCAGTGTTCTTTACTTACATGTAACCTCGCAAATTTAAATCCCTTTTCACGTCCGCGTTGGTCTTACGTACGGCCGTGTAAGAGTCTTGGCGCCAACTCCTAGCTTGAGGATTGCGAAAGCTAAGAAGCTGAAATTTTAGGAAAATGTTCCCTGCCGACGTGTAAATAGGTAAGTTTAAATTCAACTTTCAACACATTCAGATATCACATATGTCTGAATGTGTTGAAAGTTGAATTTAAAGTTTTAGCGCCAAGATTACTAATCCGAGAACTACAGAAGCTCAGCTAAGTATCATGTACGAACACATGAGAATTTTGGCGTAAAATTTTCTGCCTTAAAAACTAACAAAGTGGAAGGCTCAAAATTTGGTACGTTGCTTTCTGTGTAACTCTGGAACTTCAAATCCAGCTTTCATGCACACTTAATCTCAAGTATAGATAAGTGAAATTTCGTGTGGGGAATTCTTAGTTCGAGAACTAGACAAAACAAAAAGATAAAATTGTTGAAGGATATTTTCTGTTTGTACGTAAACATGTGGATCTGCAAATTCAAATCTAGCTCTCACGAACGCCTACGTTTTACTCATGGAGATTGAATTTCGTATTTTTTGCTACGCCAAACTGTAAAGCAGTGAATATTTCTAACTGCTACTGCCCATTGGGCAGAACTACGCAACTTGCGTAATCGCACGGCTACCGTATTGAGTGTTGCTGTTTATTCTCCTCTGAAAGAGCTGTATTTCATGTTTCAAATTCCATCCATCAGAACTGATAACACGGTGAAGATGAAAAGTTCCAGCTGATTACTGATAACACCGTGGAGATAAAAAGTCCCAGCTACCTTATTTTTAGCTGGTCGCCGTACTTTATTTATAAGGATATAACCATACCGACTAGACAGATATGTGAGGATGTAGCCATAATTTTTTCTGAAAAAAAGAGGAACAAATTCAACTGATATATGCTTTGCAATCAGCTATAGTTGTTTGTCTGAATTTGAATGTTCGCCAAATTTTCGAATGATGATTTGTCGGTAGCAGTATAATTATATGCGGAATATCCTAAAATTACCGAGCCTCCTCGTCAAAACAATGTTTAGTTTCCTAAACGATGACGCCAGTGCTGAAATTGATAATAGACGTGTTATTGAGGAAAGCGTGGGTAAGAGAAAAGGAGGAAATGAGGGGTGAGATGTGCTGGACCGGATCTGTCGAAATGGATCATCATTGCATGTTCTGCAACACAACGATAACCCTCACCTCATCCATCTGTAGCCCGTCGCCAAGGACCCGTGGTAATTTCGACTAATTTGTGATAAAATGTCGTCATCATTGTCTTAGAATCCATTTTTTATCACCATATGGCATCAAACAATTGTTAGAAAGACATATATTTCAAGTGCATTTGTTGCCCTTCGCAGCACTTTACTTATATATATATATAGTTATATGTTTATATTACTTACATTTGTGTACATATACAAATATGATAGCCTTACAGGCTTAGTAAGTTAAAGTATCCTTAAACCAGTGGTCCCTTTAGACGATGAAATGAAGGTCAATATAGCCAGCAGACTAACCATCAAGTACTGTAGCATTAATCAAAGCAACAGGGAAAGCGGTCAGTTGCTTGGCTGAAGGATCTCGTTACGAGTGGCTATAAACTTATAGCTTATCCAATTACTCAATATGATAATGCAGTATTGATGATCTAAAATCAATATTTTTATTAATATGGACTTTGATCATAGACGTAAATTTTAGCTAGTCTACTAGCACTTGTAACCTTGGGAGAAGCATAGGATTTCGGACTTTGTCAATTTACAAATGTTAAAAAAATCATTGCAGTTTGATCACTGTCCAGCAAAGTAAAACTGGCATAAGCTCTCAGGCTTAAGTCAATATTTCGAATTTAGGTAATCAGTTCTCTTATGATTTCATTCGGTGATAAAATGACATTAACAATGGCTTGCGAGCTGGAACTTTTCTTAGTTTAGATCTTTTCCTAAAAGAAAGCCCCAACAGGTGATACCACTTGATCCAATTTCAGCTGCCTGGACATTATCCATATTTGAATTTCACACTTTGATATGTTGATCAGCAGTTTCATAGAACTATAAATATTGTAGGTGTTTTTGGTTTCTTGACTTTTACCCAGTGAACTATGAGAGGTCAGTGCGGTAAAACCGTCGTAATTTGTATATCGATAAATTCTGCGCTGCAAAAACACAAGATCTGCCTAGACCGTCGCCATATATTTGCCTCATCGACTAATCGCTTTCGTCATTGAGCCTTTTCTTGGCTTTTTCAGAAATTATTCGTCGACTAACGCTATAATTGTAGCTTCTGCACTGAGCCGACAGCAGCAAAGTGGTTATTTAGGGATTTTGCGCGAAAAAATCGTGCACTAAGAGCACAGCGCAG